TTAAATTAAAATAAATAAATTTTAAAATTTTTTTGTAACTAAAGAATTAATTAATATATTTAGACCTTGTTTTCTTATGCAATATATTCTTAAGTTGTTTTTTTTAAGATGATTTTTTTTTACGAAAGAAAAAATTGAATTAATAAACTTTTGAAATAAAATATGATAAATAATGATTTAAATAACATATGTGTGTTATTTTACTTTATATAAAATGATGTATATTTTAGTATAAAAGATTAACTACGTAAATTGAAACACATTACGCATACTTTAAAACAAATATGAAAATACTCATGTTTTCAAAATCGTCAGAATGATCTATTGCAATGATTAACTTCCATTCCATCAATATTTGCAAAAAACATATGAACTTTGTAATTTTCTGTTTTTTTCATTATTTTTATATTTACTCAACCTTGTGAATATAGTTGTAGACATGTTCAAAGATAGTTACTAAAACATAGAAACATCCATTATGTTCATACTTTGAGTTTTCTTTCGAAGAAAAATAAAAAAGCAACGTTTTTTTTTTCATATTACATCAATTGCATAGATGATTGTACATTTTGTTCATGTATAATGAAAAATCATTGATGCAATTAATCCATGCTAGTTTGATGTGGATAATACTCATTGCTATATATATATATATATTTAAAAAATTGATGTCATTTTTATATTTTCATATGACACACATTTAATCTAGATTGTATATGAATTTTTTTAATTATATTATACTACATACTTTATATATTAAAAGTGAATAATTATCATGCCATTCAAAGTTTGTATTTACAAATTTCATACTAAAACTTTGAATTTATACAATAATTTTGCTAGAAAAAAAATTCCACAATAAATGAGTATTATCATTAAACTGAATTATTTATATCCCACAAGTATGTTGTTGTAAGCTTATCTGTATAAATATTAACTTAAACATGTATTAACACACAAGTAATTTATCATTTAATTACTCATTAATTTGTCAAAAAATTTTGATCAAGTAGTGACCAACATCTCATCAATTGTCATTTGACGCAAATTTTGGAGTTCCTTGCATTCGATATTCACATTGGTAACCTGAACCTTGCATTAAAAAAATTCAAGCAGCTGTTTAAATGATCAAATTTTTAACTTGACTCTTTTCAAACTTCTAAGCACAACTCGCTATGAAAGAATTTTCTCTAAAATCAGTGAACTTTTACCTTGCATCTTCTTGAAGATATGAATATAACATGTTAAACTCTATACCAGCAACTTGCTTGTAAAATGATTGTAGTTCTTTAGATACAACTCTCTTTTTCATATCCATATCTGAATTTTGAGAAGTAAGAATGTCATCATCAATTCCATCATCCAAATTTTTCTTCAACAATTTTCAATGTCTTATAAATTTTTTCAACGGTTGTCCAAAATTTCAGTTGCAAATACTTCATTGTTTCCATTATTGACATGAATAAATTCTTCAAGTATTTTTTTTGCAGAACATAATACTTTAAAGTTGCAATAGTTTGTGTAACTTTGGCTATTAAATCTTCCATATTGTTAAGTGTTTCTTCATCGGCTTCTAATGTCATTAATTTTGACCTTACAATTGTATTTTTGATAGAGCTTGATGGCACAGAATGCCAAGATTCTTTAACATGATTCGCAACATCAAGCGAGTGATTTGGAATTTTGTATGGACCTCCATCAAGACAACGTTGCAATCTCTGCCCATGATTTTTTGATCAAAGTTTTGTCTCCTATCCAATTCATAAAAATCAATAACATTCTTGAAATAGATATATTTGAATCTCTTCTTTAGAGCTGCGATTATGATTATATTGCAAGTCTGTTTCCAACTTGAGCAATTTGCAAAAAAGAAAATGATACTAACATTGTCGCGCTAAAAAATCTCAAAATATACATTGTCATTGTTCATCAACAAACAAATATATGATATTTTGTTTGTTTTTTCAACTTTGAAAAAAATACTTTGTTGAACAACTTCCAGCACGTTTCAACGTCTATTTAAGCTTTCGCTCGACTAAGATATAAAACATGTCATTGACGATTCTTAATACAAATGGATGTTTTTGATTTATCAATTACTGTGCAAGTTAATTTGTGAATTTTCACAACGTTGATAGAGACAATTCAAAAAACTTGATACTTGGATTTTTACTTACCTTTAGTTGTTAATATGTCTTCATCATGCATAAAAGATAGTATCTCGATAATAGGAAAAAAATTAATCTAGTATTGTCCATATTGTAGAGTATATGAGGATCATATTGGATTATAATTGTTTAAAACTCTAAGTTGTACAAAATCAAATTGTTGACTTCGGCACTCTCTTTGTGAAGTATCATCTTTTGTAACCCTTGACGTACTCTAAATCAATTTAGCTATTGCCAAGATGCCTTAGATTTCATTTTTGGCCTTGATAAATGTGATGCAATACTTTTTGCATTGACAATGACAAAAAGTCGTGAAACAAATAGGTTGGCACGATGCATGTTGTCAATACATATGTAAAGCATGTCTTCAAGTTTGATAAAACTACCTACAGAAGATCAAAAAATCTTTACTTTCTTTTAATCACACTTGAAGGCAGATCGCTTTCAAATTTTTTCTGTTTATTTCATACCTTTTTGTTAGCTACTTCATTTACATAGTACACATGCGCTAGAGACATTTTATTCGTATCATATGTCTTTCTCAACTTCTAGATGATATCGCATATATATCATTGGTATGTATTTCTCTTCGATACTTCTACTTGCCGGTGCAAGTTTCTTCGACAGTGAAGTTTAGAAAGTTTCTTGAAAAATGCAACTTTGATAGATGTTTGAAGAGTTTAGTTCCTATAATTTCTTGAACCGTGCGGCATCACAAGTGATCACTAGGACTTTCTTAAAGCATCAACCTTCTCAAACTTTTGCAATTTTTGAAGTAGCGTGACACACACCTAGTGTGAACACTCGCTTAGCCCCAAAACTGGCAACATGGATTTGAAGCATCGACCTTCTCAAACTTTTGCAGTTTTTGGAGGAGCATGTTAAACGTCTAAAGAGTTTCACCTCCCAATAGTGATGCGTACTGGTACTAAAGTTAAGGGTCACTACTTGGAGGCGTCAGTCGATACGAAATTGAAGATGTTCAATTTTGCTAAAACCAAGAGACACTTAGGATGAAGCAACATTAGCATTTTTGACAGCACGATCAACTGTTTCAAAATTTTGGAAGCAAAGAAAAGTTATCACGCATGTGGCATTGGAATCAAACAGAGATGGGGTTAAAACAATTTTTAGATCAACTCAAGTGCAGATTCTTACCTACATGATGCATCATTGCCATGTTCAAACATAATCTAATTTGAGTTGAAAGCTTCAGAACGTACAAGGAAACATTTACATTAACATGATGTTACAAAGAGAATTTGAGAAAGAAAGAGTTATGTGATGGCATAATATCTCGCTCTGAACTGACGTACTGACATGAGATCTCCCGGTGAGTACATCTTGTTTGCGAAGATTGTTATGAATTCTGTTCCGAGGTTTGCTGGTGATCTAGCTCGTGAAGAATGCTTTGAAGTTTTCATCCGAAACTCTATTACGAACTCTGCCTTGAGTACATCTCGCTCGTGAAGAATACATCAAAGTTTTCCTACGAACTTTGTTGATGAACTGGAAGAATTTTGTTGAAAATATCGAAGCACTTGGCAAATATCTGCCACATTCCACGGCCGATCACTATTTGAGATGTTATGTCACTATTAGAAAATAGTGACGTACCGTTTTTATTTGATAGATTTTCAAGCTACTATCTAATGGTTCTTCACTTTTAAATCACTATTGGAAGTATGTCACTACTGGGAATTGAAACTTTGTACTATGAACACTAGCTCGGCTCCAAGACTAGCCACATGAATTTGATTTGCTCGCTCGTCCTTCCCCTTGCTATGAGAGTCACCATCGTTCCGCTTGCTATCATACTCACCATCATCCAAGCTTTTGCAAGAATTTATAGAAAGAAAAAGAAGAAGAATCACAAACTGACTGTTATCAATTCTCTCATTTCTTACTTATCCGTCTTTGTATCCAAAACCTCAAACCACATGATTTTTCATCCTGAGTACCGGCCAGAGCAAAACATTCACAAACAAAGCAAGAAAACAAGCACTCGGAGGAAGGCTTCTATCTTAAGGCTTCTTCATCATCTTCTTCTTTATGAAATCTAAAGTAAGCATCTCCCGGTTAATTACCCAAGCTCGGTACCTAAACGGGAGATTACTACATAGACAAGTATAAGTAATAACTAAGTAGATGATAAATAAGTAAATCTTTATTTGTTACATCATGAGGTCAAAAACAGAATTACTAGTTTGGTATCAGCTCTTTATACGTTTTATAGAGTAAAAATTATTATACTATCGCATGGTTGACTTCTGTGACCATGCTCGATCGATAATTTATACGTTCGTACACTTCATTTAGAAAGTATACTGAGCGTTCTATGCTGAAGTTTGCAAGTTGCATCGTCACCGAAATTGTGTCCCCCATGGCTGTCGACAAAATACCATTAGAATGTCTAAATCGTCGAAGTATATTTAGACAGGAGAATCTGCAGACTCGGAGGCACACGAACAACCGAAACTAGTATGGAGGAAAGACATTGCTGTCCATCAATGGATTACAATTCATCTCGGAAAGAAACGTGAGGCTTAACAGCGATAACGAAGCTTCTCTCTGACTTATTCCGACGATGTAAATTGCAAAAGCCTTCTACGAGTTTGTCACCAAGTTGTCCCCGTTGAACAGGAGCAGGAGGATATTCTTCGCTGCCCGAGAGGCAAAGCAGGATGATAAAGGAGGGAATCCTTTCCGCACCGAGCATTCACTGAACAAAAAGTACAAAAGAACTTAAATTTTGACAAGCGCTTGCGGCCCGGGTCGTTGGAGCGATTCTGATGGAGTAGAACTTAATCCTCACCAGGCAAAGTAAGAAGTGTACAAACGGTAGATTGCAAGTAAGCAGATGTTTACTGTTGCCGTTACCGGCGACCGGCATAGGCGCAGAGCCAGGTGAGGAGAGATCGATTTCGGTAAGGGATTTTGTGCTCAGGGTTCTATCGGTGTTTTCTGCGCGTCCGTCTACGTCAACTCATCCGAGACTTCTCTGCAGTTATGTAGAGAGAGAGAGAGAGCGAGCGAGCGTGTCAGGGAGAGAGGGAGGGAGAGAGAGAGAGCGCGAGGGAGAGGGCGAAGAGCGCGTCGTGGATACAGTGAGAGTGCAGACAGAAATGAAGTACGAAAATTGAAGAGGAGAGATCGATCGAAAAGTCGAGGGAAGAATGTCGTTCTGAAACCACGGCAGGTGGAGGACTGTAAGCGAAGGAGGGAGCTGGAGGAGTTCTTGTTGCGGGTGAGGAAGGGCGAGTCTTTACGGTGGTGGGGTTTATTTCAAATGTGATATATATTCTTGGGGTAGGTTCTCACAACTTTGTTCAGAAGTGGCGTGAAGTTGCCTGGTGGTGTTATGTTTGATGCATTTTGTTCTGTTCCTGGATTTCATCTTTCGTGTGTAAAAATTCTCGAGGCTGGTCGGGAGAGCGTGTTGTGGAGCCGGAAACGGCTAATCGGGGTTTAGAACGTTATTGGGCGTGGGCCGTGGACAGACATTCGAAAGTTGCACTTTCAAATTTAGTGTAATTGTGTTTGATTTCGGATGGGCTCCTAGGTTGTGGGCGGGACGCAGCCTTCGTTGAGGGTTTTGAACGCCGGAATAGAAGGCTGTAGAATTTGTGGCCTTCTGATTTGTATCTGGAGAGGGATTGCTGAGAGTGAAGCAATATTTCAGTGAAGGATGCGTATTGCCATACGGAGTTTGTAAACCTTTAATTGACGCTTGGTTCTCTCCGGTGCTCTCGAGAGGAGTCCTCTAGTTTACCATTTGCTTGATCTGAATTGTCCTTCGACACGATTTTCAGTGAAGAACTGAGCATCGTGCATTGTTCCTCATTCTCCACTTGCACTTGTATGGTCAAAGCCATGCCCTCTCCTAGTTGTGTGTGACACGTCGAAGTACATTCAGGTGCTTCACCAGCTTACTGAGAAACTTATGCCGCGGACGATGTAAAGTCTTTGGACTCACGTTCTTTGCCAGAGCAATTCCTGAGAATGAAAGATGTCAATCGAGAAGAGCTATAGTTCAGGAGCGGAGGAGGTAGTACTGAGAGGATATTGCACGGTTCATTTTTGACTTCTAGGGTAAGGTCCTTGATCAAGGCATGTTTGGGCAACCCCAGGACCACCCTCATGGTGGTCCCCCACGATACAGTAGTGGTCATATTCCAGGGCCTCCGGTTGGAATGACTGCCGGTGCACCTTATCAACCGCCATTTGCAAGAGCCAGAGGAAGTGGAGGTGGAGGAGCACCAGGCCCATATCATTTTCCTCATTTTCCTGGATTTGGACTCTCTCAAGGCTATCCTCCTCCTAGTCATCGACCACCACCTTCTGGTCTTGCACACCCGCCGCCTCTTCCAGGGAGCCTCCCTTCAGTAGCACCTCCTCCTCCACCTCTTTTAGATGCAAGTGTTAGATCAAGCCTAAAGGGCGTTCCTCCACCGCCCCCACCCGCGCCTAAGGACGCAGAGATGTTGAAAAACATTGAGCTTCTGTCATCTTTCGTTGCAAGGAATGGACCTTGGTTTGAGAAGTTGACCCGAGATCAACATGGACATAATCCGAAGTTTGCCTTTCTTTTTGGTGGTGAGCGGGGCACAGAAGCGGCTATTGGATCAGATTTTTACGAATGGAAAAAATTATTCTTGAACTGGGAGGAGAGGAGCAAGCTACCCAGTGCCGAACACATAACACGGTCAGAGTTGAGTCAACAGTGGAATCGAGAAGAATTAGGTGCCACCCAATTGTCACATGAAGTTCCTCCATCTCCAAGTGGATCTGATATGGACATGGAAGGTAGTTGCCTTATTCCTGTTATTTCACCTTCTGTTCATTTGTTTATGATCTCTTTAGCTTGATGTGTATCCTCTCCAATGATACATTCTGTGCGATCACCATAGTCTGTCAGGCGTACCGTGTAATCTGGCTTTGTTCTCATTAAACTTGCTATCACAGATGACTTTGCGGTCACACCTCCAACAATTGAGAGAAAGCCGACGTTTGAGAGGAGATCAGTGGTTTCATCTCCAAAGCGTGAAAGGAAATCAGGCTTTTCATCTGGAGTCGAGTTGCCGTCACAAACAAGCGAGAGAAGAGTTGGACCTGCCTCTCCAGGATTTGAGAGAAGATCGAGATTCTCTTCTCCTCCGTCTGAAAAGAAAGTAGCTCCAACATCTGCAGCAGCTGATAGAACAACCCAAGGGGGTCTGGAAAGCCAGGTTCTTGAGTTAAAAGTGGGCGCTTCGTCAAGTGTTCCTGTTAATCAAGAACAATCACAACATGGAACTAACGTATGGAGCGCAGCATCCTCAGACTTGGAAAATCTGGTTGTCGAGAGGGAGAAAGGATCACAGGTTTCAGACACTTCGAAGCCGGAGAGAGAAAGTGCGCTGCCAGAGCAACCTCGTAGGAGGGGTATGGTCATCAAAACTTCGAGAACTCATTTTTTGTTGCAGTAGTACAGTAATTTAGGTGAATCACGTCGTTTCCAATACGCGTCTTTCTTTCAAGGGAATATTCGTTGCTGTCGCCTTCAAATGGAGAAAAAACCCATAAGCTTAGCGGTCAATGCATGTTTGGTGTATTTAAAGGATTTGCATAGATTGTATTTCATCAGCTCAAACACCAACCACGACGGGGCACTAAGCAGTCGTGGTTGGTGTCTGACTGATTTTGCCAAACATTTTCCTCACCATCAATTATCTTGCAACCTCTATGACGTCGGTTCATAATGTTGTTCAATTGATCATCTGAGCAAGAGTGTTATCTGTGTGATTTATGAAAGAATTAGGGAACAACAGATTCTACATTTATCGCTCTTTCTCGACAGTCTCGGTCTCTGCTGGCCCCTGCTGTTAATATGTTTTGATAATTTTCCAATTGCGCCTTGCTCATATTTGTTTTTTACCTTTGAAGTCTATATCGAAATATACGATGAGGCTTATGGGATTCGTCGATGATGAGGACTGGCATTTCTCTTAACACTGTTAGGGTCTTTGAAAATTCACGGTGTTTCCGTATAGAAATCTACACCCACTGTGGTTTAAGCTTTCAATTGTTAAGTGTTACCGGAGAATATGTTAAACCGTCCTTCACGGATGTACCCTTCCCGTGTCCTTACTTGCTTAAGTGTCAACTGTGACCAGCTACGGGCATTCCTTTTTAACTCCTTGACTCCGGCTCCCTATTTTTGCATGGTCCATACTCAGTTTTTAACGTTCAGCTCTATCTGTACCAGTGACATTTATTCCGTGGCCCTCGCAGACATTTTATCACCTCAGACTGAGTACATACCCCCTTTTCTGTTTGCTGCATGTTCTATCTCTTGGTTGCAGACTGTAAGAGCAACTTTGAGTTGATCACATCTCTTCCTCTCATGCCGACATACGTGGATTTTACATATTATTAGATGTCGCTCTCCGCAACTACGCTCTACAATAGCTTATTATGTATTTTATTTGTTCTTACTTTCGTCAAGTATATCAAACTGTATCAGTTGCCTGTTATAGCTTGAAGACCTGAGAACCAACGTCCTGGTTGAGGGATGCTAGTATGAAAAATATTGAGTACAAGACGAGGAGATGGGAGATGAACTAGATTCTTAAATATGTCGTATTTACCTTGTTTTTAAATTTGATCAAAGTAAATTCTTGTTACACATTTGCTTGTTACATATGGTATTTTCCATTCACCAAATGAATGGAATTTTTTAAAAGAAATTTTAGCTTTTTTAAGTATGACTTTTGGAAATGTAGGTGCTATTACTTAAACAAGTATGAAACGAATGCTTGCTTATTCTTCAATAAGTCAAATAGGATATAATCTTATTGGATTAATAAGAAGTGATCTAAAAGGGTACACTAGGATGACGATTTATGTTTTTTTCTACATTTTTATGAATTTAGGATCATTTGCTTGTATTATATTATATAGTTTACGTACAAGAACAGACAATACTCGTGAGTATGCAGGTTTGTATGTAAAAGATCCTTTATTAAGTTTTTCCTTAACATTATGTATATTATCTTTAGTAGGACTTCCTCCTTCAAGTGGCTCTTTTGGAAAAGTATGTTTATTTTGGTGTGGGTGGCAATCAGGTTCTAATTGATTGGTTTTTATTGCTTATTTCACTTTATTATTATTTTAAAATGATTAAATTGATTTTAACTAAAGAATTAAGGAAGTAAATCCTTATATTCAAGCTTATATTTTTACATCACCAACTTTTTTCCCTAAAAATCCTGTTGAATTTGTAATGTTTTTTTGTGCATTAGGATCTACTTTATTTAGGAGATATTGTAAACCCTATTTTTTCTTTCGAGGTAGTTTATCTCTAAGTGTTTTCTCATTTAAATAATTATTTTTATTCAAGATAATAAAACCTTATATCCATATCTATCTATCTATATATATGTAATATGTAATAACTAGAGCCTTGATGGTGAAATGGTAGACACGTGAGATTCAAAAAGACCTACTTGTTCATGGTTAAATATAAAAAAAGTTTTAAATTTTACCTGAGAATGTTCCTTGGCCCGTAAGTTTTGACACAAGGTTAGTATTCTAGCTCTTCTAGAGTGGTATTTCACATTTCACATGGTTTTTAAACTCAAACATTATCTATTTAGGGAAAGTAGGTAGCAAAGGTCTCTGTGTCGTAGGACATTTCCCTGTCTAGAAGATTTGTTCGGGGTATCCACAAATTAACCAAGAATTACTTAAACGCATCCCCCAGACGGTTTTTAATGCCCCAGACGGTATGATATAAATGTACGGTGCGTTAAACTTGAGCTAAAGCTAATGGGATTCCTTAAAATTGTTCATTTTCCACCAGCAGAGCGAGACTATGAACATTTCACTGCGCTCTATCATCTGAAGGGCTACATAGCAATGCTGCCATGCCTGTACTTACTGTTCTAGGGCGTTTGCCATGTAATTTGGTAGGAGACGACTCTCTTTGTAGAAGAGGTCAAACGCGAAATGCTTTCACGTGTTTCTGCACGGCTTCGAGGGATTATGAAATAGTTGCGTAATCTGGGGTTCAACATTCAATCACTCATACGATTTTGTTCATCGAATTGTCTCCCGTCCTTAAACTCTTATGCTGTTCTTAATGCTTGATTTACTTCATTATGCATCTCTATATTTTAGCGATCGGAAGAGTACGATTCGTCTTGTTTGATTCTGTACCAACTCCAGTTGTTGTAGTTTCACTCATCCTTTTTGGAACCATGACCAGTAGAGCGGAGATAACCGGAGTTGAGAAGATTTAGGTATGTCGATATTGATTTGTTCCCTTCCATTATAGACTCAGAAACAAACTATGGTTAGAGCTTTTGGAATGTTCAGTATTCTGTCTGCTTGTTGTTTTTATTGGGTCCGACTCATTTCGTGACATGTGTGCCTTTCTGTCGTTATCCACGACATCTGTAGGTGCTTTCTGCCCCTTGTTCAACGTCATGCTTTACGCTTTCATGAAGAAACATAGGCGTTGGACTGCTCTTACCGTTGCGATGATGGTTACTGATTGACTTTGTTAAGTATTCCTGTACTTTTCTTGCTTGCGATTTTCGCGTGTTAAAATATGCGCGGATGGTGTGTGTCAGGAATTGATAATCCCACGTGCCTCCCGCTGCTAGGGTGTCCATGATATTACATGATACAGTTCGGTTGACGACGAGTTTTTCTAAGGCTATTTCACTGGTTCCAGTATTGGACGAAGAGATTTGATCTGTTACCTGAATTTTAACACCTGGAAGGACGGCCGAGCTTATAGCTTATTTTACAATCATCCGCTTCCACCAGCAGATTTCATGATATCTACCTGATGCGATTTGAAATGAAGTTTGACTGAGTCGGGATATGATTTGTGAGGTCTGGTCAATTTGAATCTTTTGTTGCTAGTTGCTCAATTTGAAAGAACATAGCATTTCCACTTATAAGATGTAGGGTGCTGTTGTCCCGGCTCCGCATGAAAGATGGATAGAAAATAACGGAAAATCACCATGACCTGAATTTTCTGCGCGTGTGGACAGATTCACGACGTCGTACAGGGTTTGACCGACCATGCATGGAAGATGTGAGTCCTCAAAGTAGTCCTCCCAGGTTTGGAGAACCCAAAGATAATCAGCGAGATTCCGCAGCTAGTTTTGAGCAATCGGAACGTAAGGGTGTCCCTCCAAATGGACATGCGGATGTTGTCATCAAACCCTCTCGGTGGGGTCCTCCAGAGTCTGGCCCGGGACATCATGGAAACAGAGATTTGGTTTCTGATAAGGGGCCAGGGACAGGGGAAGCGTCTTCCGTGGCTAAAGCCCACAAGAGATCGGAAGCTTCTCATCTCAGAGTAGAGGAAAGCCTAACAAAGGACCAAAGTCAATCTCCGAATTTTTCTGCCAAGCCTTCTAGGGCAAGTGATGACACTAGTGCAAGGGACGTGGACAAGCCTAAATCCAGATCAGTTTCAGACTCACTGGCTGTCGATGAATTTGGAAGGCTTTTGAGACAAGGGGGCAGTGATAGTGATGGAGAGGGCCACCATGGTGGGGGCAAGAAACGAAGAAGGTCGATGAGCAGGAGTAGAACCCGGAGTCGTTCTCCAGGAGATGTACGGCGTAAGCGATGGAGCCCTAGTCGTTCTCCTCGTCGTCGGGGTAGGAGAAGCCGCTCCTGGAGGTTGCGTACTACACCCATCCATGTTTTGAGTCTGGGTTGTGTGTCGTAGTCGGTCCATTTTGTTAGGGGCATGTTTATCCACTGTATGCGTCTCAAATCCTTATGCATCAAGGATACCTTGATGAGCTGTTCTTCTGTTCATCAATTTCGCTTTTAGACCATAATACCCAGAGGTTCGTTCCCTTGGCAATTGAATCGTTGTAATATTCTGGATGGGGAAGTAACAATTGAGAGGGACATCATACAGAACTCTTGGGGTGAACTTTTCGTCCCCTTGTTACTGAATTGCGAAAGAGCAAAGTAAGAGCAGCGGCTGTGTAAATTTTGGACTCTGGGTGTGATGGTATCCATGTGTTCGAACTCCTGTTCCTTTGAATTTGGAAAAATAGGGCCTGGAATATCACTCTGGTAATTTATATAATATTAAGGTCGTTTTATAAGGTTTATGATGGTAAATATGTTATTAGTGATTTAGAAAAATGGAAGTCGAGTCGAGTTCTATACCATAACTCAACACACGCTGAAAACGGGAAGCCCTCCATCATATCTTCGGTTGCTAGGTTAATAAAACTAGCTTCCTTTCGATGAGGTGATGGGCATTCTCCCATCGCTAAACCTGTCGCCAAGATTGCTTTGTTCTTAAGCGTCTTCTCTCTTGCTCTGATTTCGGCTATTCTGGTCGATCGTGTGCTCTCATTAGCTACTATTTGCATCTCATTGGAACCAATTATTGCTGTTTAGCGCCTACGTTTTTCTACTACCTTGTGTAGTAGTCTGTAGCCTTTTAATCCATCAGCTTGTACTCTCACAATGTTTCTATTTTAGCTTGAGAATCTTTTTTCATGATACAGTATACTATGGCCGCTGAAGGCTAGTTTTGTTATATCTAAGTAATTTTGTTTTGCCTCAGGCATCGAGTAAAGGTTGAAACGATAAAATTGTGTTGTGATGAGAAGCCATTGCGAGAAGGTCACCTTCCATGATATACATTTCCCTTTATGATCTGCGTCCTTGCTAGATTGCAGATATCTCGGTTGCAGGTTAATCTAGTCTTTGTGACATTTAACATGATAAAAGTTTATTATTGTCTCAAAGAATTAAACTTTTAGATACAGAACACATAGTAAACAGTAAGGGGGAAGAAGTTTATTGGCATTGGCTGATGGGCACTGACCCAACGTTAACGTGGATATCGGGAAGAGACAATAACTCTAGCATATGGAATGTATAAACCTCTATCCTTGGGAACAAACAAAATCGGTTAGATTGCAGAAAACACGCTGAGTAGCAAAAGGCAAGAGGGTTGATGGAAATAGTTAATGGACACTCACTGACTCAACTTAACCTGGATGTAAGAAAGAGACAAAAACATGTGGATGGATTCAAGGACTGGTGTTTTCCCATTAAGGATACATTTCATTCTATTGCCAAGTGCAAAGTGATCCATGATTTCAACCCTTGTTGCATTACCCTGATTCCTGCCGTCCGCTCCTCCTCTCACGCTGCATGCCATAGTACATAATATCAAACCAACAGATCTCAAACAGCGGAGGGTTATCCTTGCCAGGGATCGCTTTAGTCATTTTCCCTTATACAAGCAGAACTGTTTATTTTTATATTTATTTTTTACCACTGCGTATTCTATACTTCATCTTGTTGGGTTCGTTTGCGATTAGAGGTTTCGCAATGCCCCGGATAACAAGGACGTTTTCAGATCTCCTCATCCTCTACATAACCTCTACGTTGTTGAAGATGTTTTGAAAACGGCTTCTTTCGAGTAACTATTGGGATTTCCTTGGGAACTGACTGTGCGTTCTTCTTAGCCAAGTTCTACTTGTTGGCATAGGATGCAGACTTCGTCGAACGTATACTTTTCTTCCGGAATACAACTAACTCTTCGGTACACCCATCAGCGATGATATGTGTGCGATCTCGTTGTTCCTGTGTTTCCTGAGTTCGAGGATCTCATGTACATCTATTCAGAGGCTATCGCAGAGGTATCGATCCTCTAGTTCCTGCGAAGTCTATCAGATCCTCTCTGCTGAAACTTGCATGGATTTACCTTGTCCCAATCTGTTATTAAAAGGGAATCTTTGTCTATATTAAACGACGAGAGCCAAACCTTTGACAACCTCTGTTCATTACTGCTCCGCACCTCCTCTTCATGATTTGTTTTAGTCTAAATTAGGCCTCATTACATCTACAGTAGATCGTGTACCTTTCGACTGCTAAGTGTACTAGATGGAGAGTGTGAGACTGAAATATGGTAAACTGGTCTGCATCTGCTTCGGAAATTATTCTTTGTTGGTTAGTCAGCTGGCGGAGTCTTCCGATCAGTCTCCAGGTTACATTCACATTGTTGTTGCTTGTTCTCTCTTGTTTAGCTGAACCTAGCTTTCTCTTTTATTTTCCTTCTCATATTTTATTTTTCATAAATATTTTGTTCATATGACCACCTATTACATCTATATGTCGTCAGTCGTTGGGCTTTGAGTTCTTGTAAGCCCCTGCACGTCCAGGTCATAGAACTAGGCAACTCGGGATCCCCTGATAAAGCAGCCGAGTGTTTGTGATGAGAAACGCACGTGCACACGCTGTTGGTGTTTACCCAATGCCTTTCTTGCGTGGGACTGGGGGTTTCACACTGGGAAACTATGCTGGTTTTCTATTCCTTTCATTTCTCTCACTTACTTCCACATTGCATTAGTTTTTGCTCTTTCTTTTAATTTGCATGTTTTCATCTAGTCATTTCTATTTTGTCGCCACCGGTTTCTGTTCTTTGGTCTTTGTGTTTGGATTGAAGACCTTTCGCTATAAATTAGTTGGCACTGTTAAGACATACCACCTGAGTGCGATATGGTCTTGGTCCTCTTGCATGTTAAGCCCCTGAAGTTAATTATGTATTATGGAATCTCTTTAAATTTCAATATCCCCAAATGAATCACTTCCACAGTCTGTAGTTTCTTGTTACTCACATGGAAAGAATGTTTCAGTGTGGACTTGTTCTGTTTCAGGGTTTGTCATCAGATCGATAGCTTTCATCACTCGCAGTGAGGGACTCTGCTCACTGTATGCCCCCTACATGTTTTCTCACGTGGCAAAAACCTAAAATGTAAATGACACACATTTCATTAGCTTTCCGCGTATGTTACTACAAGTATCTATCTGTTTGCAAGATTTTTTTTAAAAAATTGCTTTCTGAGGAATAAACTTAATAAACTTGTCTCATCACTTATTGTATTTTGTCCCAGCTATTTGTGTTGTCATTTGTGCTATTATGCTTAAGTCTTACTCCAGAGAGACCTAAGGTCCACTGCTTTGTTAGCTGACCAAAAGCACGTTGAAGTGCAAGGTTTGAAGTTGAATTGTAAGCGCGCTTATGTGTAGTTTGTTTACATCTTTTTAAGATGATGATCTTTTTCCAAGAGACACCTCAGGGGCTTTTGCTCTATCATTTAAATGAAAAATAGTGACAACTACACTAAGGAGCAATAAATCTCATTTCAGTCAAGATGCAGCAATGTTGTTAACTTGAGAACATACAAAACTTGGAGGGAATAGGGTGGAGGAAGTTTTCTCTGAAACATTGGAGCTGCAGTTATTTTATGAAAACATCAACAACTAGGTTTACTTGTGCAGACAATACTTTAATCCCAAACCTACTCCCAAGTGGACAGAGGCCCTTACTCAGGTTGTTTGGCCCATTTGTTATTTTAAACGTAGATATGATATATATGTGCGCAGGCTCGCTTCCAATGAATGTCATAATTTACCTTACGTACAATGAGTTCATGGTAACCTGCCGTACCAGGCGTGAAACACCGTTAGTATTTTTATCTTGCTCTCCTCTACTTTTTTTAGCTCGTTCGCACTCCGTGGGTTTTATGTGTGTTTTAGCGCTATCGCAAGTCGGTCACGCGATCCAACCTTTAATTATTTTACTGTAAACGTCTGTCGTTTAAGACGCTATCTTGCTCTACCTGACCTCTTAAGCTCCTTTGCACTATGTGGGTTGTGTACATGCTGTAGCGGTATAGTAAGTCGGTCACATGACCTACACGTTATTACTTTCACTGTAAATAACGTTTTGCGTTATTTACGATTATTATGGCCAAATACGCTATCTTGATCAACCTGACCTTTTAGGCTACTTTGCCCTCCGTGGATTGTATATAACTCAGCGCTATTATAAGTTGGTTGCATGATCCACACTTTCAATCTTTGCACCGGAAACGGTTGTTGTTAAAAGCGTTATCCTGCTCTACCTGACCTTTCAAGATGCTTTGCCCTTCGTAGATTATGTATATATCTTAGCGCTATTCGAAGTTGGTTACATTATCCACATTTTATTATTTCCACTGTAAAGTGTAAATCCCTCTATCAGAATGGAATTGCCGTAGGTCCCGAAGGTTTCGAAAGAGGCTGTTCTGGCTTGCAGGGAATTTCGGGCCTCTCCAGTGTCTCTTGGAGAATGTTCTGAAATCGTAAATGTCTGATATTGCCCCGACCTTTTCAATAGTCGTGCGCCCTTTTCTTGAAGTTGACTATTGCCACTGCGTGTTGAAGATGCGATCAATCGCTGATTTCTGATTGTTGTGCTTGATTACGTAGCCTCTCGCACATGTGTTTCGAATTTGGGGTGTCTACCCAAAATACGCTTGTTTCAAGAGCAGGTATTTGATGTAGGTGTTTGCTGTATTTTAGGTTCTTGACTTAATCTAGAGCTTGTTTGCTTTTTCAGTGGTTCTCCGAGAAGGCAAAGGAGCCGCAGTCGTACACCTCCACGCGAAGGGAGATGGACTGGTGAAGGGAGAGGTGATAGAGGTTTCTCAGACAGAGGGGGCAGAAGATGGGGAAGGGGAGGTGGACCGCCTAATGTTTGCAATGACTTTCTCAAAGGTCGATGTCAAAGGGGTGGTTCTTGTAGATTTCTTCATGAAGAAAGTAATGGGATAGCTGACGACCAAGGTGGGAGATGGAGCGGAGGAAGAGGCCGAGGCCGGGGTCGAGGACGCTCCGGTCGAGAAGCTGCGGAGGAGGGAGATCGAAACTGGGCAGTGAAGAGTGGAGAACTTCCTAGATCGCGCAAGCCCTGGAGTTCAAATGATCGCAACACGGATGACGATTCAAGAGAGAAAAAATTGATTGAAGATATGAAGAAGCAAGAGGCTGAATCTTCAAGTGATGAATCATGGGAGCAAAAGAAGGGAGACGCAGCCATGGCTCCTGGATCGACAGTTACAGCAGAGCAAGGAGTCTCTACAGACAAATTGCCCATGCAATCGGAGAAAGAGTCGGCAGTTCCTGTGACAGCTCAACATGTGAAGTCATCTACTGACTACATGTGTGAAGCGCTTTCACCCTCAGCATCGTTTCCATCATCGCAGAGTAACCAAGTAGCTCAACAAACAAGTGCCTTTTCCAACCTTGTTTCTTCTCCACAGCAGCCCAGCTATCCTTCACCTAGTAGACATCAGTATAATAGTACACTGAATGCGCATGTGCCCCAACATCCTTCCTTGTCTATGTCCCCAAGCGCTCAGTCTCAACAAATGAAATATACTATAGGCCATTCACATCAGCCCCAACACTCTTTTCCATCATCTCAGCAAAGTGGATACTCGCCCAACGTTCCCCACAAATCTGGATTCAGTGTCAATCGACCACCTCAGCAGCCTACCTTTACACCCCCAACCGTGACATATAGTGGAAATCCATCCATGCCTTCTCAGCAGCCGCTTCCCTTCGCGTCCCTCCCTATGTTGCGTCCCCAGCTTTCATTCAGCTCACCTCAGCAGCAAAACTTTGCACCACTTCCACTGTCAATGGCCATGTCCATGCCAATGCCCATGCCCATGCCCATGCCCATGCCCATGTCAGTTCCCCTGTCAAGTGGTCACACGGGCCTCTTGTCAAGAACGCTTGCAATGAATACTCCTCCACAAATGTTGCAAGTCTCCATGGGCACAAACCTGGCAACAAGGCTAGGGTATTCTTGGACAGCTCCTGCAATGGGCCCCCCTGTGTCTTATGGTTTACCACCGCAACAGCCTTTGCAACAACCACCACCACCACCACCACCACCGCAGCCTCAAACACAGGGTCTTCCTTCTCAGGTGTCGGTACCACCTCCAATACCTTACCAATACGCTCCTCCCTTGCCTCCAAGTTATGCGGCAGCATCATACTCGACAATTGCGGCTCAGGTTATGGCTCCAAGTTCTATCTCCTCCAGTGAACAATATGATCCATTGGCAGATAGTCTTGAACCTGGACCCCCTGGTGCTGGGGACAAGAAGGGTCAAGGTTCATTTAACCAAAACCGTCAGCAAGATGATGGGAGTAGACAAACGTCTGCTGATCAGTGGAAGCTTCATGCACCCGGTGAAAATACCCCCTTAATGACAAACGCGGGAGAGGTGGTTCTGGAGAATGTCAGTCCAGGTCTTCCAAGTCATGTAGAGAATGTTAGATCAAATATCGTGGTGTTGGAGAATGTTAGTCCGAGGCGACCGATGCACATGGTCATGGAGAATGTAAGCCCTACCAATGTAGGTTCTTCTTTCAACGTGAACGCGTCATCCATGAATTACAGTGGTTCACACCAAGCAGTAACTATGGAAAGTGTGAGTCCTTGTCCAGATACAAATCCGACTGGTGATGGACAGAAAGATGTAGCTCATGGATCGAAGGAGCAAAAGAAGAAGGACAAGGATGGTCGTATTCTCAATCTGATTAGAAAGGCAGTTGCAGAGCATGTGAAGGACCTGTTGAAGCCTACTTGGAAGGAGGGCCAGATGAGCAAGGACGCTTTCAAGACAATAGCGAAGAAGGCTGTAGACAAGGTCATGGGGGCTTTGGAAGCCAAAGGATCGATACCGAAGTCTCAGGAAAAGTTGGACCTTTTCATGGACACATCCAAACCAAAGATTGCGAAGCTTGTTCAGGTACCTACTCAGTCTGAATAGGCCTTTTTCCACTCGTCTTCCTTACTCCATAGTTTCGTACATGTCTACAAAGATCATAATTACAATTTTTCTGGTTTATGGTAGATATTTTCCAGTTTGCAGGCGTCTTCTGATTACTAATTTAACGTCCATATCTACCATGCTTGGCTGTTCTGGCCCACTTTTCGAGTCTCCTGTTTGTAGAGCGCACTTTTCAGTCTTGGCGTCACTGTCTAAAATCGCAGAAGTAATGGGGACAAGATTCATAATGAATGTTCATACTCATATCTTTGTGGAACCTAAGCTTGTCCGATGATGTATACTCTTCAAATTTAGTACTGTACCTGGGATGCTATACCCCGTTCATCTTTAAGTTGTTCGTGGATGTGATGCAATCAGTAGGCACCGCTATATACTTCTCAAGTGGAAAAATTCAACATCCCCATCTCTTTAGTTCCTTCTAGCTCCTCCCAGGAGGTTTTTTTCGCTTGCTAAAAAGGTTTTTCTCCAACTCTCTTGATTAAACTTGTTTGCTATCTATGAAATTTGCAAATTTGTTAATCCATCCCTCTTGCTCACTTTGGATTCAAAATTCCTGTCTGCACGGATTCAAAAAGTGGGTATTGATCAAGTTTTGATATCCTTGAATTTTGTTAGACTTCATATTTTTCCCTTGGAGGAAGAGGGATCAAAACAAAGACATTTATTGATTACCCAGAACGAGAAGTTTGCCAAGAAACCTGGATTTCAATATATATCTATATTTATCTCTTTTAATTGATAGAGAGATAAGCTTGACTCCCCATATGAAGCAGCCGCGAGTTTGTGACGGAAATGGACGCTTCATGTTCACGTATCGTAGATGTTCACTGGATGCTTTCCTTGCGTCGGACAGGCACTGCATGCTGGAAAACTAAGCTGGACTACTCCTAGCTCTTTCAATTCTTTCACTCCCAGCTTACAGGGTTTTTTGCTCTTCTTCTTGTTTTCATTTTCTTGTTTTCACTCATTATTTACTTTTGCGTTGCCTTCGTTTTCTGTTCTTCGGTCTTTGTGTTCATGATTGGTTTCACTTGGAACCCGTAAAGTAGCGTACCACCTGGGTGCGAGATGTATTTTGTCTTCTTTCAAGTCAAGCTCCTGCGGTTTGATCGCGTATTGTGTGATCTTTAATTCTTCTTACTAGAAAAACTTGATGTAGTCACGATACAAAGCTGGCATTGTTAGGTTTCTTCCTATTAAATATGGTCGGACGGTTCACCACAAATGAAGTCCGATTTACACCTTTTTTCATTTTTTCACGTTCAGCGTTCCGTGTTTCATGCTGAATCATGTATGGTAGTTTTCATCTTTAGAAGTCCTCATACAGATCGTGAATACTCCAAGGGTGATCACTTGTGAAGGCATGATCTATGAAAGAGGTTAATTCTACGCTAAAAAAGTCACTGAAGATAGTCTGAAAACAGCACATCCTGAACCTGAGTTGTATCTTGTGACCAAACTAACGCTCGCTACTATATGGGCCTTAGTTCTTAGGTTTATCTATGTTAGAATAAGTATCTTTGCTGCGTACCTGTATGTATATCTCAGGCTGTCTGAGGTGATCCTCCACCCGACCTGAATTTAAAAATCTCGTGCCGAACTTATATATATGTGTCTTTATGGACACTATACGGTGAGATCTTATTAAAAATATACAGCTTACATTGCGGATGATGAGGGATTCGTCATGTCAGAAAATCCGTGTGACCTAAGTAGATGACTCGAATATATTTGTTGTGTGCAGGGATATGTCGACAAGTATGTGAAGGCCTAAGAGTAGTACCTCAGGGATCCTTAGCTCCTGCTGATCATGGCCATTCATTCATTGCTGCTCCAACTTAAGTGGTTGTGTTCTCAGTTCTGCTCTAGTAATTGTTCTTACAAAGCATGATGAGGCCACAGCTACTATGTAAGTGCGTTCTTCCAACCACCAGAAACTATAGCCAGCCATGGTGAAGTTTCATTAAACTGGAGTCAGATGTCAAAACACCAGTTGCTAGCAGGCAAGCTCGAATTTTCACCATTCATAACCAGGTATCATGCATTTTTGCACAGTTTTGTTTACTTTCTCTCTTGTTGTATCCTGACGGGAACATGATAATGATGAGTTGTCATGTTGATGTTCATGACAGATTGCTCAGGTTGTTTGTTTACTGTGTAGATTTAACGCAAACATTTTAACTGGAAGAGTTGTTTGCTTGACTAGGAATCTCGGACTAAGGGAGTTGGTACTGAATGCACATGTGGATTTGTGTCTAGCACTATGTTTGTAAAGCAGGCCAAGGTATATATTTGTTAAAAGGGCAGGGCTTCTGCTTTTTGATGATACTGCTGACGTTTATCCAAGGCTATACAGAAGGGCAGTCCTATTACACTTTACTAGATTGCTTTAGCAAATTCAACCCTCTTTACTGGTAAATGACATGAATGTGATGCAATTCGAGTGACATTCCTGATGACACGAAATTAAGGAGAGCACCGGTACGAAACATCTGAAAAAGCATCACTTTTGGAATGTGAAGCCATCGAGGACCACGGCAAGGGTACTGAAGCTCCTTGTCAAGTTGTTGACAAGAAGGTTGTTGAAGAAGATATGACAATTTTCTTCATGGAAGAACAATACGAGCTATTGTTGCTTTGTTCCCTGGTCGTTGGGAAGAAGCGGATGAATATTCTATGGACGGTTTGGCCGACGTCCCCCCGATGAAATCAAATCCACGATGCTGCGTGCTGCTGACAGGCTGATCGTCAGTGCCCGCAACAACTAAAGCATTTTTCGGGCAGTTATCTTGCTTATCCACGGAATCCTCGCCACAACATCATGCCACCATGAAAGAGAGTGCGAACTGTTGAATTTGACAACCAATTTATACAACTTTGATTGACTCTTCATTATTAATTCTCCAAGGAATGAGACGAATGGAAGACATGGAGAGTCAATAGTTGGGTCCACAAACGGAGTATTGGCAAGCCACAATTTACGTACATCTAGTTATTTTAAGGTGAGATGATATTCTGTTGGACTTGACATGGCTTTGGATATTACAAGACATTCTCAAGAGAGAGAAAGTGACTCAGTCGCATCATGGAACGATGTCCAAAATGCATGATTTTAGTCATTCAGGGCTTTTGCAATAATACCATAACTTGTTTATTTTCCCGGGTAACCTCATATGATACAACCTCGCATCGACTCAAGTTCTATCTTCTAATACCGGCACCCTTTGAATTGGCGTCGTGAGATACGGATCATGTTCAAAATCTTTATATGGGATCACATCTAGAGCTCTCTTGGCAATGCGTCCGTCCTCGTGTATCCTCTCGATGAGAGCTTCTAACGATGGAAAGTTTGCCTGCATCGACAAAAACAAATGATTAGGTCTTGAGCGGGTGAAGCAGGAGAGACTTTGGCGTTGCGTTCCGTCTCAAGTGAAACCTGGCCCAGATTCATTTCGGTTAATTCCGTTACATTTCCTCGTTTCACGGACTTGCACTTGACCTCTGCCCAAATCTAAAGCAAGTGAAAGAAAAGTGATGAGGGCGGATAGTGGCAGTTCGAGCCTCAATGCCAAAAGACGGATAAAGCGACTGGACGCTGGTATATACCTCGGGCCGGATGTATCCCACGACGACGAGGCGAAGTTCTTCTCCATAAAAATCTTCGGGAAAGTCGTGCAGAAGCCACGGTTCCTGTTGACACAAACGGCTTGAGTGTGACGGAGCGCAAGAGGGGCAAATGCCAATGTGAATTCCAAGGACATTCTTGCTTGCGGCCTTACCACGGTCTTCTCCGCATTGTCGAAGTATGGATTCCACCCCACGCTCATGACCATTTTGTAGACGCCTCGATCGGCCAGTCCAGCCCAGCCCAGATAGATGCCGCACACATGCTCGGCGAGCTGGCTCGAGAACGCAGCGGTCGGCAGGTTCGCTAGACAGACAGACAAACAGACAGCATCAGTCAGAGCGCAGAAGGTTCTAGAAACCGCGACACACATGCCATGGCAGCGCAGCGCACGCACGTACCGGTGGGAATGCCGAGAACCTTAGATCCGCGCCCGTAGCCTTTGATGACCGTGCCGCCCATGTACCACGGATCGATGGGCAACGAGTTCTCGATCCCTGCACGACACAGAGTTCATCAGCCTCGAGGCGCGCGACGACGGGACATGGCTCGCGATGCACAAGCGGGTGGAGGACTGCAATGGCAACGGCAACGGCAACGTACAATCGGCGAACGGTGGCAGGCCCCACGCCTCGGGGCGCAGGTCGAGCAGCGAGCTCAGGACTTGATCCGCGGCCGAGTAGAGCGGGCGCGCGGCCTTGGTGGCCAGCGACGGCACGGCCACGACGCGCATGCCCGCTGCCATGGCCGCCGTGACACCAACCCTAGCGTGACGGCAACAGCACAATGTTAAGCATCATCAGAGTTCGTTCGACTGCGACGACGCATGGATGGATGGATGGCGCTGGAAGCATCAACGACCGTGATAAGGAGCCACTCACGGTGCATCTTCGATCACTAGGCAGCTGCCTGGCTCGGCTTTCAATCTCCTGGCTGCTTCGAGAAAGCTGCACATTTCCACACCCAACCGCACGTTCAACGAATGAATGAATGAATGAATAATTCGTGCTTCGTGTTTCTGGATCTTCGCGTTTCACAATCTCTCGACAGGCCAGAAGAGGTCGAGCAGCTCACATTTCTGGAGACGGCTTCCCTTCCTTCACTTGATCACCCGAAACCACGACCCCCAAAACCTCTGTCCACCCTGCACATCGGTTCCATTCGGTTTTGGTCACCCGAGCAGTGCAGAAATTGCAGGTTCAATGCCACTGACAACAGATTCCACGGCGTGTTTCGTAACCCTTCCCTCTGGACATATCTTGGGTAAGTACCGCATGACGTGCACTATAGATCAACCGGAGAATTCTGGGATCAGAGAATCAAGCTCCGATGGCTTGGCATAAAATTACAAGACCGAATTCGACATGTCCATGTGTCTCCGCTAGTATACTGATACCCAACTAAAAATACGTCTTCACCACATGACACATTTTTTTACTCACCCTCTTGAAAGGACAGTTTTCGCTTGATACTCTCCAGTGGTGAACTGGATGCCAAGGCGACAGGGATCGAATTCGACTGCAGATATCTAATCAGCCGTATAGCACCCGGCAGCGGTTTCGCTCTTGCCCAGCTGAGAGTCAAACAAAGGCGTCTTGTGAGCAGCGTATTAATTTATGTGCAGCATTCAACCGTTCACTCTAGCTGAGCAAGCACGACGAGATCGGTAGTCTCACGACGAGCATGTTTCTATTCACAGTTCGATGCTGCAAATCCAAGACATTGCCTGAGATCTCTACACGTGACATACAGCTTGTCCCATTTACACGAGAATTTAGAACAAGCCCTCACCTGGCCTGGAGGAATTCTGAAGTCTGTGCATACACTTGCTCTGGTGTGCAAGGAAGCTCGTAGTCTTGAATGAGAGCAGCAGCCGCTTCCAGGGGCCGTTTTCCAAACCGCTCGGCAGCTCCCCTGCCATCCCAAGCTTTACCGTAATTGACCACCACCTGTCTACTCGCTTCTTCCACCAGGCGTTCTGCTCATCCATCACCAACATACACCCTACTCCGTAAACCCTCTCAGAAGCATAACACTGCGCCAACTGCTCACCAAATCGTGAATGCTGCTGCACCATTCTCTCAAAGACAACGTGGTTTGCACGCCCAACTCATAAATCAGAGCACACCATCGTTCCGTGAGGACTCACCTCGCACGAGAATGAGAAGGAGCCAATGCGACAAAGAGAAAGTTTACAGATTTTCCTGATTGACAGATTATATTCTCCGATGGGGATTCGTGCGATTGGAAGCAGAAGCGGAGAAAGAGAGGACGATGGTGAGACATGATGAGTATGGACGGGCGAGAGGGTGAGACAGACTGACCAGTGTCGAGCAGAGTGCCGTCGAGATCCAGAATTAGGTGGGTGATCATCTTGGAAGCAACGGCATCACTTTTCGCAGGATCCATTTCTTTGCTCAGTGACCCGAAATTCAAACAAGGCTGGCCCTCACCGAAGACGACTGATCATCAGCTGAGCGCAATTCATAGACTCGAACGAATGTGAACCTAACGAACGAACCTCGACCACCACGACCGTCCTCAAACTCCAGAAACGCAAGGATCCACGGATCGATCGGGCCAGCCAGCCATTCTTGCGCACCGATCCCGCGGAATTCCTCCGATTGCTTGCAGTCGTTGCAGCCCTGCTGCTGCCGCTGCGATGCGATGCGATGCGCCTTTCCTCCCTTCGGGAATCAATCAGTCACCGGCAGGGCAGCCTCGAGGGACCTGGACCTTCCGGTTCCGCTTTGTCCGCGCCATCCCTTCCCTGGCCTCCGCTTGTCTTGTCCGATCTGGCCCTGGCCCAGCTCCCGGACAAACAAACTATTGTCCAAAGGGCTCCCGAGAGGAGACGTTCGTCCATGGCCCGATGGCGCACGCTTTGCCATGTCCCATGTCCCATGTCATGTCCGCGGCCCTTCACCCTCAATGTTCATGTCTTCCCTAGCAAAACGACGCGAATCATCCTCTAGTTATTACGGCCGTGCGACTAACGCCGTGGGATGTGGTTCATCTCCAATGGCATGTCGGTGGTGAATTTGTCATACTGTCTTGGTTGTATCTAGATTGATCCAGCTCGAAAGTTTAGTGAAAGTGTAAGAAAGTGAGGTAATAACAATATCTTTCGTTTTCTCATCATATTATTTGAAATTTTCATTCATGATTTCATAGGAACAATCGAGCTGTTTACACTTCTACACCTTGACACGTCGATTAATCTGCTAGTGATTACCGTTCATGAGAAGGACAAACTTTGTTTTGAAACGAATATCATATGTAGTATCTTCATTCGCAATGTTTGCATAATTACAAGATATATTAATACTTACTTCATGATATATCCATCATGTTATCTTCACAAATATTCCTAGTGTTATAGAATTTATTTATTTTTATGAAAAGAAAGAAATCGGACAAAATGGGTAAAGTCGGGTAAGACCGTTTCACCATGATCTGCTCACTTTTATGATATAAAAAAAGACTTTTTATTAGAAGGGTTCTTTGTAGCCCTTTGGGAGAATGAGTTGAGAATGACTTGTTATGTAGGAACGTTGTAATTTGCTTACGTAAATATCCTTAATTATCACATTTGAATAAAACTAAAAATAAATTTAACTAACATTTGAATTATTAATTTTTCAACATATATTTATAATGTAGTCCAGTCTACAATTAAAATCTCTCAAAACTGACAGTACTTTTTTTAATAACAAACTGCCATATTATAAATTTGGCAGTTATTATTATATGACACAATTGAAGAATCGATTAAAAAGAAACAGATCTGACATGTAAATTGGGAGTACGAATAAAAACTATTCTTGAAAATTTGTATAATATTTTATTTTTTTAAAATCAACTAACAAATCATGAACAATTAACAAATGTATTCACAAATCCAGAGTGATTTTTCTCATACATACATACATACATATATTTCATTATAGTTCACATATATTTAAACATGATAAACCACTCTTGATTGGTTAAATTGATTCACTTTTAATTTGATGACACACTTGAAATTAAAAATCACATTTTTCAATGAAATCTCTGTAATAAAATGTATTTTAGCATATGATAGCATGTAATCTAGCATATGATCATATGATAGCTATCATGTATATATTTCAAGAAATTAGTGTTTTCAAGTATTATGTTCTAAACAAATTTATTCTTATCAAATTATAGTTCAAAATCAAAGAAATTTATGTCTATAACAAGGTTGTCATATCAAAAAACATGAGGAAACCAATATTCGGAAAACATATCATGTGTATATCTCATTGACTAGAGTAACTCATAGAAAGCTACATATCTTCTTCTTGAAGTTTCCAAATTTCATATAAGTTTGAAATTAAAAATGCATATTAAAACTCTTAATTGTTTCAAAATGTAAATTCACAATGAAAATAAAAATTGTCTTCTTTATCTTCCAAAACTACTTTGTCATCACAATCCAAACAAACCAATCAGATTGTTGTCTACAATATTTTGACTTTTTAACCATGTTAGAACTTAAATCAAGTTTTTTAACTCTAATTAGTTCAACAAATTACTCTGCTACTACATAGGTAAGCTACTTGTATTTTTATATGTCACAAAGTTTGGGGTTTGTTCAATAAAATATTTGATTGTTTTCATGGGTCTATGTAGTCTTGTAGATATATCCACTTACTGATTATGTCAATTTTACGTGAATGGGGAACACAAAATAATGATATAGAAAAAATATTGATCTTTTCTCAGACTTCAAAATTTCGTTTTAAAGATTTTAAATAAAATCTTTAAAACACTTCCACTTGAAATATATGATTTTTATAATTATTATGATGTATAATATTCTAATTATAAGATTAAGATATAAACACACATATATATATATATATATATATATATATATATATATACGTTTATGATAAAAAGAAACTAAAAAATATCAGCATAATTTATAGATTGATGTATGAAAAAACCGGATTTTTTTTATTTTTTTTTTACATATTACAACTATCTAAGAAATTATCATGGTGTGTTTTACAATTTTCAATGATTAATTATAAATTAATGAATCTACAATATTATTATTGTAACCTTTAAAATAAATTGCATTTTACATGATGGACTTCAATTTTTGTTTAAATATACAAGCAACATAGAACTAGACTTTCAAAATAGACTTGTAATGTATTAAAAAATCAACTAATTTTCATATATACATGAGATGAAAATATTCATTTATAAATTTATTCAGAGGGAAAATAAATATTCATTTATTAATACAAGTAGATTAACAGCAATTCAAAAAGATAATTAAGAAAGTTTGATGTAAAAATTTTAGAAAAATATACAAATTCATGTTATTTGAAAAAAAAATTTGTTATTCCTGAACCATTTAAAGATGATTGTATATTGTTTCAACTTGTTCTTAAGTTTGAGAACCTAAAAATTTTTACTAACAAAATTTCATGTAATAAAAAATATCTGAATTCAATATGTTTTGAAAAATATAATGAGATGTATGTACCACCTCATTTTATTTTAATTGAACAAAAAAATTTTGAATGAGATGCAAATATCAATAATAATATAAGAAAAATTTAAATGCTAAATTTTTTTTTTATTAAAATTGAAAATATTTTATTCTCTGAAATATTTAATCTTAGAGTAAATGTTTTTCTTCTTTAATGGATAAGGCATTGTGATAAATCACAATCACTTTGCATATATTCCGATCAATGGAAAAGTTCAACTCAACAAAGGTCAAGTCAGTAAAAGTTTTTAATATCTGTTGTCTTTAGCAATAATTTTCATAATCATAAGACTTTAATATCTACAACAAAGAAATTTATCATTATTCATGTTCAAAATATACAATTTGAATAAACTCATAGCATATCGTCTTCTGTTTTAGTCCTGCTGGTAAAGTTGACGGTAACTGATTGTAGATTATGTTCTGTTTTGTTTCGTAGATGCAAATTCTAGTCTTATGATGTGAAAAGTAATTTCATAAGTAGGTTGGATGCGTATATTCTTTTATGTAGGCTCCCAACTCATAACGCAGCGTTTTGACAAAATAAAACTGTTCACCATCTCAAACCCACTGATTGTGACTACATTTCACCTTCTGACAGCACAGTTTTAAGGTTTACTGTTCACTCAGAGAATTACCAATTTCTGGACTTTTTTTATTGGGTCTCTTTTCATTTCTTTCTGTGGTGTCCTCTGTTTTCAGATTCTGTAACTACTGTTTAAATTTCATCGTTGGCTTCTTACCCTGTACTGTGCAACATGTCAATAGTAGCGCACTTTAGTTTCCAGAACAAGGAATTAGAGGAGATACATCCCTCTTCAGAATGCTTGGTCTAATCTCGTTTTCCTGATGGCAATATTGGAAAGTTATGAAAGCAAGAAAGAGCAGACTTGTACACTCCAGCATTCAGGTAATTCGTTCGTAGCTTAGCATGCTAAATTCACACATAATCATTTCTTAAGTTAAGCATTCAGTTAATCAATTCCTAGCTTGACATAATGGATTCTCACATGATAATTTGTGAACTGATGAATCGTCCTCAAATTGAGAAGCCTAACTGAATCCTGTCACCATCTACTTAACAAGGAAAAAATTAAGCCAAGCATAGCAGCTCACTGAACAGTAACCTGTCACATCACGAATCAAACAGAAGACTCAGTAAAATCCGGCAAGGACTACCTTAGATGCTACTCAAGAATGATTGTAAAAATCTGAAAAAGCGCCGCAAACTCGAAGGCAACTTGCTAATCGGGCAGCCGGTAGCGTCCCGCCGGGTGTTCGCTGACAGTTCCCCCGTCCCTCCTGGGACGGGCATAGGACTTCTTGCGGCACCGCCAAACGTCGGAGGCCGGTCGCGAATTTAGCACCGGCTTTGTACCGCAAACCCAAAGAGGTAAGCGCCACTACTTTATCCGGCCACCGGCGCTTTGAGGGCGAGGGCGAGGGCGATGGCGAGGGAGCCCCGGGCCCGTCCCGTGGCGAGAGGGTAGCAGAAAGGGCTAGTCTACTGTACTAGAGGACCAGGCGCTGTGGACCAGGCGACTGCGTACTCGGGCCATGACGACAGAGAGGCTCGACAGCCGCTGCCCGCTGCCCGCTGCCCGGCCCCGCCAGCTCCTAAGGGGAGCAGAGCAGAAGCGTAGCGTACACATCAAAGCAGCAGCGGAAGTAGAGAGAGGAGAAGTATGTGACAGTATGTAGTATGTAGAAATGCGTAGAGCTCTTCTGTGCCTTGCACGTATCTTTCTTCCATTCGGTGGCAGCTGCGATCGGTGAGCGCCTCGTGTTCCTTCCTGCGATTCCTGCAGTCCGTTCAAAGACATTTTGAGAGAGAGAGAGAGAGAGAGAGTGGGAGTGCGTATACTGGTCGATCATTGATCTGATCGGCGGGATTGATCTGTACATACTGCGTATGTGTGTCAGGGCGATTCTCCATTCTCCTTTCTTGCGGTCGCAGCTTTGGACGAGCGAGAGCGCAATTGTAGCGGTGCTGGCAGGCGTGGGATGGGCAAATTCGACGAGTGTATGGGTTCAGACGAGAGCTACCGCGGTCTAAGTGTGGGGAGATCCATTGTGCAAGGTGAGGCGCTTTTCTCCGTGTGTGTTTGGCTTTGCTTATGTATGTACTGTATGGTTACTTGTAAGGGGGGGCAACTTTGCCTTGGTGCGGGCGTCTTCAACCTTCTTCTTTTTTTAACAGGAATGAAGTTACGTACAATCCGATGGTCTGAGAGATACCAGCGTACACACTTGCTCTTTGTAGGGATCTGTCAGCAGAACCCTTTTGTTCCTGCCTCCTTTTTGGGGATTGGCCGTAGTGTCCCCTCCTCTTTCTCCTCCTCCTCCTCCTCCTCCTCTTCACCGCCATGGGAACCCTTTGAGGAGTTGACGACAATTTCGGACAATTGGAACAGCCGAGAGGAAGAGAGGGCTAGACAGACGTCACCCATTTCTGCAGTCCTTCCCAGTCGTTGTCCATCTCTGATGTTTTCTGTGACGGACTTGTTCACACATGTACGCCTCTACTTGATTCAAATCAATTAAGCTGCAGGAGGTGAAACGAGAAGGAGCCAGAGCTGAGTCCAGTGGGCGTTCTTTTTATTTTGCGCTCGACTGCACTCTCGAACTCCCGAGAGGTCCAGTCTTCGGTGTGGTTCTGAAATTTATTTTCGCCGCTGGTTGCATGAGCGGATCTCTTCGTGGGCGGGCCAGGTACGATTGTCATGGTCGGAAATTTTCAGCTTTTGCATGGAATTGTTACGCAATTTGGATCAGAAGGACTTAGCACTTCAAATGGCCTTTGATTCTATGCCGTCCCCAAGGAACCATCGCCACGAGAAAACATTCTCGAACGGATCGCAGTTGGATTTTCCTCAAAGCTTGCCCAAGTCACCGGTGTCGACGTCTCCGCACTCATCTCCTCGACCACAGAGCCCAGCGGAGCCTGTTGTCCTCTCCATACGCTTCAACCAGGACAATGGATGCTTTGCCTGTGGCACTCAGACCGGTTTCCGTGTATTTAATTGCCATCCATTCAAAGAAAACTTTCGTCGGGAGTTCGAAGCAAGTGGCATCGGCCTGGTGGAGATGTTGTTTCGATGCAATATCATCGCGTTAGTTGGGGGCGGAAAGGCACCTCGGTACGCCCCCAACAAAGTCATGATATGGGATGACCACCAGGGTAGATGTATCGGCGAATTGACATTCAGAAGCGAAGTTAGGGCTGTACGGCTTCGGAGAGATATGATCCTGGTTGTCCTGGAACACAAAATCTACACCTACAATTTTACGGACCTGAAGCTCCTGTATTCTGTTGAAACCCTGGCGAATCCCAAGGGGTTATGTGCCGTCTCATACTCGAGCAGCCCGAGCGTGATGGTTTGTCCTGGGTTACGGCGCGGAGAGGTCCGAGTTGAGCTGTACAGCCAGAAGAAGACGAAGTTCATTGCCGCACATGAAGCGTCTCTGGCTTGCTTTGCATTGAGTCTCGACGGTAGTTTGTTGGCCACTGCTAGCACGAAGGGAACTCTCATTCGTATCTTCAACACCAAGGATTGTACCAAATTGCAAGAGGTGGGAATTAACCTAATTTTATCCATCCTGTAAAATGAATTCCTTGTCACTCGAATTCAAATTGCTGATTGTGTCAAAGAGTTTGCAACTTATATCAGCCGCTAATGCTTAGATTTTTTTTGTTGGTTTTAACCTGATGTACGGATTCTGTGCTACGGAGGAGAGAAACAGATCACATAGTTTATTAAGTTGCAAGTACAAGTAAGAGATCGTGATAACATTGTCGCAGTTCGCCTTCCCTGTGTGCTTCGAGGTTCCGTTACTTTGGTTGCTCTTTCTCTTTGGTCTGTGTTTCTCTTACATGGCTCTGTGTGGGGCTGTCAGGCTAACATACCGAAGGACTGAATCCCTTCATTTTTTTCATCCGTTAGAATTGAGTGTTCAAAGGAACATATGTATTAGTTGAAGCCTCATGTGCGTGAATATGAATATACAGCAAAGCCCACAATTGCCTTGATTATCTCTTACTATTCTTTCGGAAACTCGTATCAAGTTTTACGTCTTTCATTCTTAAGAATAGACCTTGCTTTGTGCATTTTAGAATTATCAGTACACTGTATTATATTCTTGTCCGAATCTGTTATAATCTTATATAGCACGGTTGCGTTTGCTTGAGCAGCTTCGAAGGGGTGCGGACAGAGCAGACATATACAGCATCAACTTTTCACCTACAAATCATTGGCTCGTGTGTTCCAGTGATAAGGGCACTGTACATGTTTTCAGCCTTCAAGCTCCTTCCGGTATTGATCCAAAGCATGGCGAAGCCAAAAATCTGAACGCGAATTCAGGCAGTCTGTTGATGGCTGGTTCTGCTTTTCTGAATTATGCAGTTGGCAACGCCGGGTCTTCATTGTCCTTTATGAAAGGTGATGTTTCTGCGACTCACAGACATCCTTAACTAAGTTCTCTGCGTACCAGTAGTTTCAATCCCAGTGTGAGTTGTGAACGGTACTAGCTGGTCTAACTCTAGTTCTTAAAGTCACCTTCTAGAATATTAATCTCTTCAAATTGCCAATTTTGATACGAACATGTGTGCATCAGACGCGTTTACATGTACCGCATACAGCTTACAGTTGGTCCCAAAGGATTTGCATGCTAGACTGCATAATCATCCCATATTCCTACCAATAGGTCTGGTCTATATACATGCGTTATATGATCATTTAAGAGCGAGCGTGAGAGCAATCTTGGATCGATACTATGTATTGCCTGCGATATAAATGCATGCATCGTTCTTTGTCTGGAGTCTTTGTATGGCGGCTTAAAACTGCTATCAAAGGAAGGCAGTCAATTCTTGTGAACTACGTCAGTGCCTATTTACTTTAAATGTTCATTGTGATCAAGCTATTTAGTGTTTGTTATACCGCTTCAGGGTATGACTGGCAAGTACTAATGAGTACAGTTATCAAGTTGGTGCCTTGTGACATGGTAAACGCAAGACTGGTACAGTTGTGACTTAGTCCTTGAACTGCTCAGTTTCACATGCTGGAAAATGACGATCAGTAAATTTTCTCTCTGCAGGTGTACTTCCTAAGTATTTCAGCTCAGAATGGTCTTTTGCTCAGTTTCGTGTACAGGAAGATACTCATGCTATTGCAGCATTTGGTCCGGAGAAGCATAGTGTAGTCATCGTTTGCGCAAATGGAAGGTATGTACCTCACTTGATCAAAAAATAGTCGTCATCACTGAATAGTTGCATGGCTGAACACATTGTCCTGTATCTGGCTTGACCGGATTTGTGCTGGGTCATAATCAACCCACTACCTGTCGATTTGACAAAATGAGAATGACGAGTAGCCCTTCTGTAAGTTGTGTCAGCTCAGAAGAACGTGAAAAGTTGCTCTCAAGCATAAGTTTTGTGTCAAATATGTTTATGAGGCATCTCTTTATCAGTTTCACTTGGGAAGCGATGTAGGTAGAGTTCGTTATACATTGGCTTTATATCTCAAATAACACTGAACGTCAGCAGTAGAAATAGACCAGACCTTTCCTTCAAAAAAAATTGCATGGTTTTTCTTCTAACCCATGTTACTGTGTCAAAGATTTTTTACTTGCCTCTCATGGATGATATGGCTGCAGCTTTTATAGGTGCTCCTTCGATCCGTCGGTCGGTGGGGAGATGGTGCGGGAGCAGTATGAAAGGTTTATAAAGCCCGACGAAGTGGATAAAGTACCAATGTCTGTGGGTACTTAGCACCCACTAGTTCGAAGGATAATGCTCCTAGTGTAGGTTAGCTTCCTTACTGTCAAAAACTTTTGAATCTAGTTTTGTGTGTAGTCATTTACGCACCATGGCCCTATAACGTGGAGAGCCACAAAGAACACAACTGTATAGCTTCGCTCTCCAAATCGACTCCTCTCTGAACTTCTTCCTAGACATCTTGTACATCGCCTAAAGGTAAATCAAGAAAAGCTGTAACATAACCTTGTATAGCCCAGTCATATTTTTCCTCTGGATTGTGGATCTCTCAGTGTAGTTCAACCTTCCAGACTGTCTATAACTACCTTGTTTAGACGGTTGTCACCGAGACCAGTCAACAGCACTACACTGAAAGTCTACCTTGTATCAAGTTAGATGCAAGGAGACTTTTAGGAGACTGGGCTGATAAGGTCATTTGGTAGATCATTTGTACATGATGTTTAATTTGTATTTTTTGCGTAATGTCTCGCATGTGGGAGCCACTGTAAAAGGATACGCCTTCTATCGTTGTTTTGTTGTCTAGTAGTGAAAGAGGATTTATGACACGTGATGCTTGACAGAGTACGCAGAGCATTATTGTGTAGGTTTATCCGTGGGGATGGGTTTAGGAGGAGTTTATTTGTCGAGGATGGCTTCTGTCAAAAGTTATCTTATGTTGTATCTCGTAAAGAATGCACCGATCTAGTTGTTTGCAAGTTGAAACGTGAACTGCAGCTGGTGTCTAAATTCACCGTAAACGTATCTTGAATGTGAAACTCAAGGCTATACAAGTATTCGACTTAACCAGAGGAACAACTTGTACAATCTCTCAAGTGTGGATGGAAATTAGACTCCAAAGTTCGAAATGTGTAGGATTCAATGTAGGTGAAGGGTGTATTTGTGGACCTTGCGACTCGTGCGAAAGCCGTTTAGACTATCCACTTCAGTGGCTTGATGGTTGACGAGATCGTAGTGTTATCTCGGATGAGATCATCAAGTTATACATGGGCTCTGGGTCTTCCTGTTAGTGTGTATACCCCGAGCTTATATTTAACTTCATGACCGCCTGCGATCTTGTGGAAGACGAGGTCAAGTATGTTCTCCGTGTACCCTAGAATTCCAGGATGTGTAGTACCGGGAACGATTTTAATGCCATATGTGTATCGTTGAGGTTGGGTTATACTGTACTAGTACCGTTGTAAATCAAAACGAATTTGGTGAATAATTTATAGAACAGGTGTCTTGAGATTTACAGAAAAGAAAGATGTAGTTTCATGGTTTCTTATTCTGTAGCTAATTTAAAGCTGTCGATGTAGAGTTCGGAAGGTGCTAGCTTAAGAAGACCTTTCGGGTGGGCCGCAGCAGAAGTGCGTGTTTGGACACAGGAATCAAACTCCACGAAGATGTCTTGTGATGTAAAACTTCAACGAGGGTTCAAATAGATGCAAGATTCGTCTTCCGACGTCCATCATCTTCGAATAACAAAAAGTGATATCTGGAAAGAAACTATACAAGATGAGAAAACGATACATCTGTAGTCCGACGACGTTTCTCTCCGTCAGTTGATCGAGGTTTTCGTCTATTCTTCTTCCGGCAAGGTAAGGTGGACATTTCACTCCTCGCTCTCTTGTGTCCAGCAGTGTGAAACCGGTTTCAATGGCGACTTTACCCCAGACTGTTCAATCTATGCTCCATGGCGCAGGTAACAAATTGTACAAACTACCTCCACTTCCAGTGATTGGACAATTTAGCCAATGATTGAATGAGTTATCTCGCTGCTTTCAGACATAATAACCGATACTGTTGGATGAACTGATTGAGTGCCTGGCACGGAAAGCTTCTCATTAAACCTTTCTTCCAATCGTAGGACAATGTTGCCGTTTCCCGCACTTTACCACCGTGATTGTCGATAATGACTGTCTTTCTTTAGCACAGAAGGTGCTGTAAGCTTTATGCGCTTTTCGATCGTCTGCATCTGCGATATAATTTCTGAATAGCTGGAGCAATGGCTGCTTTCGCGAAATATATTTCCTACTTTTTACTCGTGCCTCTTCTTTCTTCTTTCTTATTATTTAATCTGACAACAATTCCGGGTTACAGCTCTCTAACTGATATTGTAGTCCAGTCAAGGTCAACACGAGTGAGGGTTTTGTGCCGTGCCACAAGGTACAGAGTTACTCATCTTCATGATTCTGAACATAACCTCTCTCATGAACTTTACTGTTGGAAAAAAAGTTCTACATCCTGTTCACTCGTTCTCTTCAGTTTTATCCTCTTTAAGACATTTACGGTGTCTAAAGTCCTAGCTAGTGTTTCATACTTCATAAAGTCATTTTACGAAAAAGATGATGACTCATGTAAATAAAAATCGTCGCTTGGGACACTCAGTTAACTTTGATGATGAAATTATAGGGTGAGATGTATACCCGACATGAGTCAGTCATATCAAAGTTGGAGATGAAGAGAGAGGGCGATATGAAACTAAAAGATGACATGCTTTGCTTCATATTATGAATTTATTATTATTATTATTATTATTATTATTATACATTTATTATTTATATTATCATTATGAAATTATTATTATATTAGATGAGTGAGAATTTTTTAACTGTAGTAACATGTATGCATATATTTAAATCCGTCTAAACTTTGGTCAAAGTCATGGAAAAAAATTTTGAAGTAAATATGTTAAGAGGTTATGAAATGAAAAGCTTTACTTCTTAACCACAAGAAGATGTACTAGGAAGTTTTCTTGCATAAACATTCAGATAATGTTTATGCAGATAATACCCTGATAGATTACAATAGGAAATTCAAATTTGGAGGTATGGTTTTCATTTTATACTCCCGCTTTCTGAACCCGTGTTTTCAATTACTCACTGCAAGAAAAGAGTTATGGACTTAACTTGTATTCTTGGGTAAAAGCTTTAGTACCATGCATTACCAATTTTATGTTGGACGATCATGTACGTACGTACAAGAAATGTAGAACCAACATCTTGGCCTGTGTATGATGTTATCAAATCTTACTTGTCATAATTCATATAAAAAATATATGACGAACACAACATGAATGTCTGATTTGATCACAAAATATGTGGATAATGTTACAACTTCTTGCTAAGTTTATCAAAAACTAAGCATAACAAATGTAGAAATGAATATCTTGAAATTCAATATTATTAATTAAACGAAAATAAGTCAATGTATTGGAAAAATTCAAGTGTGTTAGAATGAGTACAAATTGTAACTTGTAACTACGCATCACATTCTTCAATGAGTATATAGGGAGGAATAACTTGAAAACATATTTCAATAAGAACAATAATTACGCTGAACTTACTTCAAAACAAAAAACAGAAAGTAAGTACGAACCTCTCAACCAGCTAGATACTATGATCGACGGTTGAAGCAAAGCCTCTAGGGAGCAAACAAGAAAAAGGAAATTGATTCCAAAATGGGAGATGAAACTGGTAAGTTCGTTGCGTTGCATGATTGATAGTTTCAGAATGGGGGAAAAATGATCATGTTGCATGAGTGTTGGTCATCATTTTTAAAGAAATTATGTGTTCAAATGTTTCCGTTAAAAACTCGATACATTCTTTTTAGAAAAGTTTTAATCTTACCTCCATTTTTAACATTAGAAACAATAAATCTTTACCAAGCTATCTTGTTAATTTGATCATCTTAAAAATAATTAATCAAATATTTAAAAAAATAAAAATTTTATGAAAGTAGAACTGTTATTTTCAATGGGATTTTTTATAATTTTTGAATAACCTTGTAAGAAATAAAAGAATGATAAAAAGAAAAATATGAAAATTTTTGATCTCTATATTGAATAAAGAATTTTCAATAATATTCTTAATGTTGGCATTTCCAGCCTTCGTGCAAACATATTCATAAACATGCTCAGATATAAAAGAAAATTCATGTAGATATAGACAGAAACAAGAATCAGATTAAAATAAATCAATGTTAATTTGATTGTATAATAAAAAATTCTATAAAATGAACATATATTTACAAATAATTCTGGAAAAAATTAAGTTCAACATGCATCGGACTCCATAATATTATTTGAGCTAATTTTTGAAAATATTTTACAGCTTTAAAATGAAATTTTATATATATTTAAATATTATTAGCTATGTATCATATTTGATAACATCGTATTATTCATATATTCATGTTTTGAAGAATAAATTTGTAAACTGTAGATTGTTTTATAAGCTCAAAAGAAACAAAAAATTCTTAAATGAAAATTGAAATTCATGATATTCTTTTAATAAAATTTTTCTATAGATATTTCCATGAAATGTATTATTGGTTTAAAATACAAAAAATTTTGTGGATTTGCTATCTGTTACTACATTAAATTAAAAATCGTTTTAAACATTAAAAAAAATTACTGCTTTTTTTGAATAATTGATAAAATGTTGATCATAGTGTAGAAAATATAATTTACATATTAAAAATTAAAAATTTAATGATTAATTAATTTTATTAATTAATTTTATAATTAATAAGAAGATTATGTATTCAATTATATTATGAGATGTATTTCTTTTCAAATACTTACTTACTTATTTACTAATTTCAATTTCAGAAACTTCTTTCTACCAACTACTCAACACATTCTATCCTATCTTTATCAAAGTCTAGATAGTAGCTCATGATCATCAAGATTGTATATAAAAAACTCATTCAACTCCTCATCTTTAATTACCAAAATCTTTGTTTAAAAGATATTCAAACTTATCGATGAGTAAATTATACTATGACATGTGTAGTATGTGTGTACAATGATGTGAATGCATTGTACACACATTTATCTTTACATTTTATTTGGTATGTTTCCTTAATTTACATCTATAATTTTTTTTATAAATCCACTTTGAATTAAACTTTATATCAAACTTTTGTTGCAAAGTAAGAAATTGCATTTGATAACTATAGTCTTATCTTAACTTATACAGAAAAAATCTCTAATACTTCCTTGAAATCAATTTATGACGCTTGCATTGCCTGAGTTGGAGATTGATGCTACTTGTTAACATTCAAGATACACTAAATTGGTCTCATGTTGATTTATCTCTTTGACAACTCTAATGACCCTATAATTACTTCCTCCGTAAACCACACAAATTACATTTATGTTCATGTGATTTGTGGATATATATAGTTATCACATTAAGCATCATAATTTGTAGAAAAAATTCCAATAAAATATCTCAATAAATTAATCTAATCTCCAAACTTCTATATGTCGAGCCAATTCAATTTTCACTTTCACAATTTATCCCAAAGAGTCCTACTCTAAAAATCGTTCTGCAATCTCTACACTCACAACAGATTATTGCAAATGTTATCTAATTCACAATTTTTTATTATATTTAGCTAATTTTTTGTTATTATATATAAATGTGAAAAATCTTATTTGCAAAGAAAATGAAATCAATATAAGTCGTAACTTAACTCAAATTTTTTGAGATTGTATTATAAATTTT